AGGCAGTATCACTACGGAAGTAGGATTGCCCAACCTTCCTTCCGAGGAGTGGCTGGTGGGTTTGAACCGCCAACCATCTGGTTAGCAGGCAAGTGTCTTAGCCACTATGCTATAGGTAACATAAATCTCTCTGAGCAGTGGGGCTGAGTTTGAGATACTGTAGGAGGTGGAAAATGTGGGTTTGGTGGGGTTGTCCCAGATGAGGAAAGTACATCATCAGGGGTGGAGGACATGGAGACGGTCAGAGGATGAGACTACAGGTGAAGTGACAGGGTTGAGATTTATCAATCTTATGTGAAAAGATCTGTGTCAATAGCTGCTGGGCCTCCAGTACATCCTTCCAGTCAGAAGCCAACTCAAACCATCCCCTCAATCTCCACAGGCTATAAGGAAATCTCCTGTCCCTCCCCAAGACCACACCAAAGATGGTCTTGCTGGGAACCATTTTTACCTGTTTTCTTCTTGCCTTCCTTTAGAGTTGAGAGGGAAAAGCTCAGACAGCCTGTAGAGGACTGGTAAATGAGCTGATATGGTGAGTTCACTCCCATGGCAGAGATGTTATTGAATGAATCTGGAGAGGAATAAAGAGGAATTTTTCTTTTCTAGCTTTTCTTTCTTTCTTTTTTTTTAAGTATAATATAACATAGACTTCTTATTCCAGCAGTATAGTGGACCAGATATTCTAAAGTGCTCTATTTTTACAAAACAATCAGGTTCTGGAAGAAATAGACTTTTGAACACACTAGCAGGTTCAGAGTAATTTAGAGAAATCTTTAAGTTTCCCTTCTAGAACACTCTTCACTCATACCCCTCAAAAGTGAACTGAAAACAGGGAAGGGTGCAGGGAGCAGCAAGTACAAAAGAGGATATTACTCTATAGGCAAATACAGACATCAAAAGTGAAATCACTTTTCATTCCATGGGAGAAAGATGAAGCAGTCTGCTTCCATAAAGATTTACAGTCTTGGGAATACTATGGGGCCATTTTACTCTGTCCTATAGAGTCATTATTAGTTGGAACTGATGAGATGGCTGTGGGTTTTTTGGTTTTAGCCATAGTCTTTGAAACCTCCACCAAATGGTTGGGTGGAACTATGCAAATAAGGTGTGTATGCCCCTCAAGGGTACTGCACAGCTTGCTAGGAATGCAAATAAGGTGCATAGCATCCTAACAAAGGGATTAGTCAGTCCTGCCATCCCACTAGGTTTAAAATAAGCCAGCCCAGAGGCAGCAAGCAGGATCTCATGACAACCAAGAAAGAACAAGGAGTGGAGTGTATCCTTTAGATCCAGAATCCCTGCACTGAGAACCTCCTAAACAGAGAAGATAGAGAAAGGGAGCTATAACATGGATGTCAGTGAGAGATGGTGACACAAGATAGCCTGAACCAGGAGACCATGCAGTGAGCTTCCTGGCTTATGGGTGAGAAAGCTGAGCATCTCCAGGCAGGAGGTTTGCTGGCAGAGTAGGTTGCCTCCAGACACTTAGAGGAGTTAGGTGTGCCAGTCCATGGAGCTAGAGTTGAGACCTTTGGGCCAAGGATTAGTAGTGGAGTGGGTGTCTCTTGGTATCAGAAGAGCTAAAAAAGCTTTGTGACACTTGCCTGAGCAGGGCAGAGGTCAGACCAAGGGGCCCAGGGCGAGAGAAAGATCTGCTTGCAGGCACAACTGAGAAGAGGCTTTCCTGATCAAAGAACTGTATCCTGAGTATTTCTGAACTTGAATTATAACCTGTTACTTCCCTAATAAACCCCTTAACTGTGAGTCTGGTCTGTGAGTTCTGGGTGACAATTGCAATGAATTATCAAACCCAGCAGAAAAGTCAACAAAAAAGGGGAAGGCCCTCAACAAGATGGATTGACTCAGTGGCTGCAACGATGGGCTCAGGTATAGCAAGGATTGTGAGGCTGGCACAGGATGAGGCAGTGTTTCATTATGTTGTACATAGGGTCACTATGAGTTGGAACCAACTCGATGGCACCTAACAACAATAACAACAACAAGCAGAGAAGTAGAGTGTGCCATGGGAGGGATGGTTGGTGCCAGAATTGGTTTAAAGGTTGAAGTCGGAGGCATGTCTGACCTCTGCCTCATAGGAATCAGCCTTGGGCTGTTTATCTTGATCCTCTTCTACTTTTGTAAGGTTAGAGGAGATCAAATATCTCAGCTTTTACATCATTCTTACAAATACCCTTTTCTGATTTTAAAAAATACCCTTCAGCAAAACAGGAGTAGAAGGGAAATTTCTCAATGTAATTAAGGGTATATATGCAAAAACATTATTCTCAATGGAGAAAGATTGAGATCCCTTCCCTTGAGAACAAGAATGAGACAAGGATGGCCATTATCACCACTCTTATTACTCAATATTGTACTTGAAGTCCTAGCCAGAGCAATAAGGCAAAAAAGAGAAATACAAGATATTCAAATTGGAAAGGAAGCCATCTCCATTTGCAGACAACATGATCTGTACATAGAAAACCCTAAAGACTACATAAGAAAAGTTCTGCGTATAACAGAAGAATTCAACAACATTGCAGGGTAAAACACCAACACACAAAAATCAGTTGGGTTCCTTTACACCAAATAGGAGTATTCTCATAAGGAAATCAAGAAAATAATACCATTTACAACAGTCCCTAAAACAGTAAAATACCTAGGAATTAACCAAACCAGGGAAATAAAAGGCTTATACAATGAAAATTATAAAACACTACTCAAGAGACTGAAAGAGACTTACATGAATGGAAGGACATTATGTGCTCATGGACTGGAAGGCTTAATCCAGCAAAAATGTCAATACTACCTAAAATGATCTACAGGTATAGCGCAATCCTGATACAAATCCCAACAACATTCTTTACTGAAATGGAAAACCAATGACCAACTTTATATGAAAAGGAAAAAGGGCCCAAATTGCCAAAATGATACAAAGAACAAAGTAGGAGGCCTCACATTTCCTGATATCAAAATACACTATATAGCTACTGCAATCAAAACAGCCTAGGCATTGATCAATGACAGACACATAGACCAGTGGAATAGAATTGAGAATTCAGAAATAAATCCATCCATCTATGGACAATGCATTTTTGTCAAAGAGTCAAAGTTCATTCAATAGGGGAAGAAACAGTCTCTCTCGCACCGTCTCTCTCTCTCTCCTTTCTCTCTCTCTCATTGTTATTTGGGTGAAAGTTTACAGAGCAAATTCATTTTCCATACAGCAGTTCATACACATTTTGTCTCATGACACTGACTGTAATTCCCCACAATGTAACAGCTCTCTTCCCACTTCCTCCCTGTAGTTACCTCTTCCCTGTGCCCTTCCCTTCCATGCACTCCCGCCCCTCAAGCTGTCTCCCTGTGCAAACACTGCCCTTCTGTCCTCCAATAATTGATCTCTCCAAGGAGTCTGTCTACCTGATGTAGAAAGTCTCTTTAATAAATGATGCTGGTAACTGGATATCCAGTTGTAGAAAAATGTAACAGGACTCATACCTCACACCATGTACAAAAACTAACTCAAAATTGGATCAGAGACCTGAATGTTAGACTAAAACTACAAAGTTCCAGGAAGAAAACTGTTTTTCACAAAGTAGACTAGCAAGCATAACCACAAATGTACAGATAGCTGAAGAAAAATTAGACAATTGGGACCTCATAAAATTAAATACCTCTGTTCGTCAAAAGATGTTTTCAAAAGGATAAAAAGACAACTTACAGACTGGGAAAAAATTTCAGGAATGACATATTAAATAAAGTTCTAATCTTTAAAATATATAGAAAACTTCAATAATTCAACAACAAAAAGACAAACAACCCAATTAAAAAATGGGCAAAGGACATGAACAGACACTTCACCAAAGAGGACATTCAAGCAGCCAACAAACACATGAAAAGATGCTCATGATAATTATTAGCCTTACTTAAACTCACTACCATCAAGTCAGATCTGACTCATAGTGACCCCTCCTTGGGTTTCCAAGGATTATTCAACCTTTCTTCCAAGGAGTGGCTGGTGGGTTTGAACTGCCAGCCTTCTAGTTAGCAGTCAAATGCCTTAGGCATTATGCCACCAGAGCTCCCAATTAATCAGTGTCATTTTAACCAGGGTGAGATGCTATCCCATTGTACTTTTGATTTGCATCTCTATAATTATTAGCCTTAGGAGCTCTGGTAACATAGTGCCTAAGGCACTTGACTGCTAACCAGAAGGCTGGCGGTTCAAACCCACCAACCACTCCTCGGAAGGAAGGTTGGGCAATCCTACTTCCGTAGTGATACTGCCTTGGAAACCCAAAGAGGGGTAGCTTTGAGTCGGGGCCGACTTGACGGCATACAACAACAACAACAACAACAACAACAATTATTAGCCTTATAGAGACGCAAATCAAAAACTATAATGGGATATCATCTCACCCTGTAAAATGGCACTGATTTAAAACAAATGAACAAACAAACAAACAAACCCAGATAACCACAAACCTTGACAAGATATGGAGAGATTGGAACACTTATTCATTGAAGGTGGGACAGGACTGTAAAATGGTACAATCACTATGGGAAATGGTATGGCATTTCCTCAAAAAACTAGAAATAGAATGTGGTAGTTAAGGTTGTGTGTCAACTTGGCTGGGCCTGGTTGAGTGGCTGGGCAGCTGGTGGTAGTTGTTCCCCATGATGAGACTGGCAATCAACTCCATGGTTGGATCTACTATAAGCAGCTGATTAGCTGCTTTAGGAATGAAGTCTGCTTCCTATATGTAAGAAGCAGCTTTGGGAATGGTATCTAGCTTATGGCACACTTGAGCCCTGCATATAGCCATGTCGTTGTTCAGCAGGCTGCCTTGCTCTGCTGAACTTGGGACTTTCAATGGACTTGAATTAATGGCCTGCCGTGTGGTTTGGTAACGTCGGGACAGTGTCTTTTTACTTGTCAGCCTCGGGCTTGTCAGCCTCAGCAGCCAGCAGCTGTCTGAGTGAAGAAAAGTCTCTAGCTTCAGTGGTCCGGGAGCAGGAGGCAGAGCTGAAGCCCAAGGTTGAGGGGCTTTCACCTAGTTCCTAGAGCCGGCACTTTGAACTTGGACTTAAAGCCTCCAAACTGTAAGAGAATAAACGCCTGTTTGTTCAAGCATCCTATTTGTGTCAGAGTGGCACTAGGTAACCAAAACATAGAAATACCTTATCATCCAGCAATTCTACTCCTAGGTATATATCCTAGAGATCAAATAAAAGAAACATGGACAGACATATACATACCTATGTTGTTTGTGGCATTATTCACAATAGCAAAAAAATATACAGCCTAAGTGTCTTTCAATGAAAAAGCAAAATGTAGTACATTCTTAAAATGGAATATTACACAACCATAAATAACAATGATGAGTCCACAAAACATATTATAACATTGATGGATCTGGAGGACATAATGCTAAGTGGAATAAGTCAATCACATAAGGGAAAATACTTCATGGTCCCACTTTTATAAGAAAACAAAAATATATACACAAAGACCAATGTTCAGGTATGGGTGGGGAGAGGAGGAATCACTCTCTAGATTGTAGATACTTG